CAAAAAAAAAAAAAAAAAAAAGATTTGGTGATCTTGTTTTTGAAAAGAAACATTGATAAGCAAGTTTGGGCTTTCACTGACAAATAGAAGTGGGTAACTTGAGAGAGGAACTTAGTCCTCCTAGGTCCTCGTTATGCTGATGAAGACCAGGCTTCTAGTACCAAATTTAACTTCCATCCAAAGGAAAAAGAACAAGTGGACTGTATCACCAGTCACCTAGATCCGTGGCCTGAGAGGACTCGATACGCACAGACTGTATCAATGGTGAAAAGAATAGAGTGACTGCTGGGTCCAACCTCTCATTCTGTTTTGAAACGTGCTCTTCTCATCTGGGCAGTTCTTGGGCAGGTCCACAAATGCCAGGCATACAAATGCGGGCTCCGTAGATGAGCCTTCAGCACACGGAGCCAGACACCTCATTTTAATGCCCTCCTCTTCACCCAGCTTGACTGAAGTCCATGGTGAGTGTCCCGTTGGCACATGGAGCTTTGGGCTTCTGGGAGCAGAAAGGAAGCGAGTGAAGCATCTGTAAAATGTATATTTCATATTTAGGTGTATGAAATATAAATAGCCTTGTCTGGGTTGTGCATCCACCCACTTACAAAGAGAATAAATTTGATCTTTCAACTTTACTGAGAAGCACTCAGGTTCTGGGAACTACGAGGTAAAGCTCAGCTTGGCAGGAAAGTGATTAAAACAAAATCTTTCCATTTAGCTAAAATATCTTGGAAGTTCATGATATCAGGACACCAGCTCACACACCCATGCACACACACACACTCTTCCCCACCACTGCCACCACCACCATTTTTCTACCCCAAATGGTCTGGCACATCTGTTGCTTCTCAGGAGGTGTGAAGTTTTTATCAACAGAGTACACACACACCCAACATGTTTTTCCCACAAGTTTTTTCGTCTCGTGAGGTACACCTGTAAACTCATCATAACAAAGAAACTGTCACTGGCATTGTGGAGAGTTAAAATCAGATCAGAGCCCCTGGCTTTCCTGTTTGATGGTCTGTTCTTTCCGAGATCCATAGGGTTTGAGACAGAGGCGCACCGAGGGTAGAGAAGTGGGTAGAAGTGTGGTTTCCTTAACAACCCGTGGTGTGCTGGCTGCAGGTGAGCATCATCAACCGGTAACAGTAGTGAGCCTGTGCCTGGGAGTGGGAGAAGGCCGCCTGCTGGGGGTTCGGGGGTTCTGGAGTCCTTGGGGCTTTGACCCATGCTCATTACAGGAGCTTTACCTGTCTGGACTGAGGTGGTGCTGCGGAGCTCTGCCCCTCCGTCTTCAGTTTAAATTTAGACCGCCCTCCCCAGGAGACACAGAAAAGACCTGTTCCCTCTCCGAGGGATGAGCTCAGAGTAGAGGCTCACGCGTGGGAGAGGGGAGATGGAGACTCAGCCTTTCCTCAGTGTATTTTGTTCTCCGTCGTTAACTTTTTCTTACATTTTACTAAAACTGACCTCATCATTTCAAATGGGGGAATCTAGTTTTCTCATTTTTTCTACATATTTTACTTGTATATATACCCACATTATATATATATGGTAGATTTGGGGGTGTTGGGAAGAAAAGATGCCTCATTTTGAAACCTAAAGGGGGGAATGAGAAAAGCCCTTTGTAATATATTGCCATATTATCACTAAATCCCCTGACAGTTGTGACACAGACGCAAGTCACCTGTCACTTAAGCTTGAGGTCTCTTTAATTTTCTCCTGGAATTCGCACCAGGCTGTCTTTAATTTGAGGCCTTTATTGGAATTCTGAAACCTCTCTGCCTCCCTGGCTCTCAGATCTATTCTGAGAGCTGTTACAGAATGTATACAATAACCAACAGAGGGATTCGGAGAGGGCTGCAGCTCTGTTTATTTAACACTCTAGAGGGATTTTTGTGCTTATTCGGTCCTGGCTGCCCGGCTTTCAATATCGCTTTGACAACCATTCTGCCCTTCTCATTAATTTTAAACAGTTAAAACACAGGAAAAAGAGGAAAAAGTTTTCATTATTAAAGTGCTTTACTTTTTAATAACAGAGGATTCTGTCCGCCAGGGGAAAGGGCATCCTTACTAATTTCACATTCATATTAAAAAAAACGCAGGCAAGGTGACAGTTGTGCTGCTGAGATGGCGGAGGGAAAGGAGGGCAGTGGAGAAAGTTTGCATCTCACATCAGTTAAGAGGGTAAAAAAACCCTTGTTAATGACAACAGCAAACGTCCACTTTGGTAGCACAGCTCCTGAGTGACTTTTCTCTTGACATTTTAGCGGAGAGAACCCTTAGGGGGACCATGTACTGTGAAATCAGCTAGACTGTCATCCATCGTACAGGTAGCAGGGATGATTTGACTACACTGAAAACATTTTCAGGTTGTTAAGTCTCTATTAATGCAGAAAGGATGTCGACCCAGAGAATGAAGCTTTCTCTCTCCTCCCCTCTCTTCTTCCTCTCCAGCCTTAAAAGTGAAAGAGAGACATAGGGCATCTGGGTCAGGCCAGACACCAGCACTCACGCAGCCTTCTGAAGGTGAAGGGGTGGCCCCGGTCCCGCACGAGACGGGCCCCACGGCCTGTGGCAGGGGCTGGGTGGGGAAGGGAAGCAGAGGTGAAATAGTACCGCTCGCGTCATTGGCATCACTTGGCCTGTTGGCTGGGGTCTTTTGGATCTCGTATAGAAAACACGTTTGCCTTAAGATGCAGGAAACAAAAACCACTACATTTTTTGGGGAAAGGAAATCTTTTCGGGGTATCTATTAAAAGGTGAAAAGAAAATAATTTATGTTTCATTAGCATTTTCCATCTGTAGGGGCCTCCTTACTGCATGGATCCAGGTGTTTCTTGTGCGTACATCCAGGCAGTCTTTGAATGTGGCTTGCTGGAAAAGCCTACTCTTTAATAGGTTCCTGGAAACTCAGCTTGCTGGTTATGGGCTTAACAAATGAATCCAAAACATTGCCAGTCAGCCTCTCTAGGAATTGAGGACGCCTGCTCTGAAATTCAAGGGTAGGAGGAACTCTTTAAGGCTGATTTTGGGGCAGGTCACTGGAACGCTCTTGAAGAGGGATTGTCATTTCTCACCGATGAGTAGTGGGAAAGGAGAAAATTTGTAGGAGATACAGATTTTTTTGAAAACAGCTTGTGTTCAGTGGTGCTCTAAATACCTGAATTGGACTTGATAAATTTAAAGTGTTTCTAGTGGCCTTTCATTTTGAACATGTGAGAAGAGGTCACAAAGAAAAGTAAGTAAGTAAATAAATAAACAGACCTAGTCTGCTCTCTCACAAAGCCATCCTCATCTTTGCTTGACTTTAACATCTTTATAGCTCCCTTTTTTCCCTAGTAATATTGAAAGGATTACCCTCGTTGGCCCCTAGGTGGTTACTGTGTGATTTTACTGTTATTAAATCTATTATAAACTGCTTCATTATTCCTGACTTCAACTGTGTCTCTCCTTTAATCCTTCCGTCACCCTCCCAGAAATCCCATGCTGTTGGCCCCCAGGAAATCCGAGAGCGAGCCACGGTCTTACAGACAGTATTTGAAGATTACGTGCACTCCAGCGAGAGGACGGTCTCCTGGGCGAAGAAAGGTCAGTCAGTCTCTCAGGTGACTATGGAGCAGAGCCCAGCAGGGTGCTGGCCCCACCCGCACCCCACACTCACAGAGGCCAGGCAGGGGCCTCCGCCTGCCAACACAGCCTCCCTCTCTAATTCTGCGGGGTTTGGAGGCAGACTTGGAAGGCTTTAAAGTGATATTAAATGTTAATTTCATCCTTCCCCTTCTGGCGCACAAATGAGGCTTTATCTTGGCTTACGTCAGGACTAGAGCTGTGACCCAGCACGTTGTATCTGGGAATCTGTGTTTCTGTCTTTGAACACCAGGAAGAGGAGCTACGAAGCATCAGTAGAGGTAGTTGTAGAAATGCAAATGGGAAATGAAGGTAAGGACTGGAAGTATTAGACCCAAGCAGTTCCTATTTGAAGATGCAAAGAACAAAATGAAAACAGTGTTGAGGAAGGGCCATAGACCATGAACGCAATTCCTAAGAGATTTGTGGAAGATTCGGGTACTGATTCAGTACTCAGGCCCTTTTAGGATAAATCGGGCCCTGGGATCCGACATTAGGCATGGACAGAAAGGTTCATCTCAGACAATGAGCAGTGTGGGAGTGGGGCGTGAGCTCTGCAGAGCAGGTGCCTTCTCCAGGTGCAGTGTCCTGGCTGGGGACTGAAGCCGGTGCTAATGAGACTCCTCCTGGGCTGGAGGAGCTGTAGTTCTTTCTGTTCCCTGCTATTTTGAGAGGAATGCCAGGATGCTTAGCCAGTAGTGGAACTCTGTCTCATCCTTTCTTTTCCCTAGAAGTAGTATTTTCAGTCATTCTTTCCACATTAGTTATTGAGTGGGCACTGTTCCAGGTACTCCAGGTATGTGAGGGATCAGAACAAACGTCCTTACCTCTGTGGCACTAATATATTGATGGGCACAGGTGCCGCGGTGAGCATGATAAATACAAATGCGCGAGTGAGTTTACTCGAAGGTGGTAAGTGCTGGGGAAAATTGAGCTGGCTGAAGGGAGCGCAGGTGGTAGTGAGCAGAGTGTCCGAGCAAGCCACACGGAGACCGTGACACTGAACTTGCCCCACGTCTCCTGCGGGAAGGGCCTTGGGCGGGGAACTCCAGGAAGGCGGGTGGGCAGAAGGAGAATGAGGCAGAAGCCCAGGGCCTGGAGGCTGCTGTGCAGCATGGGGTTTACCCTGAGGAAAACAGGAGCCAGTGTGGAGGGCCTCGAGCCTCATGGTATGGTGGGTCACAGCTTCGGAAAGATGTCCTGGCTGCTGTGTGAGAGTAGATCCTGGGGCGAGGACACCTAGAAAACGGCATGGGCCGAGTGTGGGGTCAGGAAGTGAGAACAGGTTGGCAAGGCAGGCAGTGCAGCTCAGTGGTAGGGCACGTGCCTAGCACGTACAAGGCTTTGGGTTTGACTTGATTTGTAGCATTGCAAAAAAAAAGTTAACAGCTATCTTCAGATATCTGTTATGCCTTTAGTGCATGATAAAAGCAGTGTTTGGTTGTCATAAAACTCATATCAGAACTGCAGAAGGTGAAAGATGAAAGTCCCAGTAATTGCTATTGATGTGTAATTAGTATATATCTTTCTAGTCTTTTCTCTAATAGTATCCTGTCTTAGTGTTTCTCAGTTGTGAACTAAACAATTCCTAAGGGTTTTCCCAAGAACCTGCCTCTAGAGAAGGACTAGAATGTCTCAGGAAGAGTAAAGTGTTTGTCACACTGACTTTACAGAGGTTTGACCTTTGATGAAAGTTAGGCAACAGCCAAAACAAAGTTGTTCAGCTGGGCATGGTGGTGCATGTCTGTAATCCCCACTGTGGAAGGCTGAGGCAGGAAGATCCCAAGTTGAGCCCTGCCTGGGCAACTTTGTGATTTAGCAAGACCCTGCCCCAACAATAATAATAATAATAATAATAATAATAATAATAATAGTAGCTCAGTGTGAAGGCCTGGGTTCAGTCCCTAGTATTCCACCATCAAAAAAATTTTTTTCAATGAAGAAAAATAAATCAAACCTATGCCATCATCTTTGATTTTGAAGTCAGTGGTGTTTCGGATATTTTGGGGATATTCAGCTATTTCAAGGTCTCCAGGCTGAGTAAAAGTCAGAGGAAATAATCCTTCTATAATAGTAGCTCAGTGTGAAGGCCTGGGTTCAGTCCCTAGTATTCCACCATCAAAAAAATTTTTTTCAATGAAGAAAAATAAATCAAACCTATGCCATCATCTTTGATTTTGAAGTCAGTGGTGTTTCGGATATTTTGGGGATATTCAGCTATTTCAAGGTCTCCAGGCTGAGTAAAAGTCAGAGGAAATAATCCTTCTAACATGGTTTGAGTTTTCTCTAATCTTCACCATTACCACTGAATTTGCTCAAGAAACAAGCAGACTTACGTGGCTTCTGCTGAAAGGGTACTGGAGCAGGTCCACTCCCTAACGTGTATGTGCCATGAAGGAAATAAATGTGTAATTCCCTTACTTGCTAATTGATTTCCACACCAGACTGACGAGGGCAGGCACAGAACCGCCCCTAGCAGGTCGCATCACCCCATTTCACACACAAAGCTCCTTACTGTTTTTCTCTCCTGTTACTTAGGACAGTGGATTCTGTAGGCTTGAGGAAACTTCCCCGGAAGGAACTGAATTCACGGTGCAGGGACAGCCACCGCACCCTCTAAATTGAACTCGCTTTTGCTTTTCAATCCGCATATGCAGATTCCCTACAACTGATTTGCTTCCCTTTTATGCCATTTCAGAACCCGCCTCATGAATAATTAACAAAGCAGCTGGGCTTTTGCCTTTATGGCAGAAAACTAGTTGGAAACTGGGCCAAGTATACATTTGTTTTCCTTTTGCATTTTCTGACCCAGTCATTGTTAATAACCAGCATTTAATTGTCGGTTTCCAGAGGCAGTTAGCACTTCTTTCTCCCATTTCTTGCATCTCTTAGCTGGGGATTCAGGTAGCAAACAAATGGTAACCTAAGTGTGAGTTCCAGGCTCCTGAGCAAACATTTGGGCAAACCAAGTCCTTTGCCTGCACATGGCCGCTGCTTCCATAGCTTCACCCTCTCGTCTTCAGGCCTCTGCAGAGCAGGTTTCTGTGCGTAGCATTCGTGCCTGTGCTTACAAGCGGTACTTCCCGGAACCGGAAGAGCCGGGCTCCCCAAGTGAACTGGGGTCTCTGAGAGAATCGGGACAGGCCGCCTCCTTCCCTGCATCCCTGGGGTAGTTGCTGCTGGTGTCAGGTAGCGAGAGGCAAGTGGGCCCACTGAGCAGAGGGGTGTTGAGAAGAGTAGGGTTCAACACTCGACCTTCCAAGCTGAGTGCTGTTCCTTTCTGCCTTCTTTGGAGTTGTCCATAAGATGCTCCCATTCCTATTTTACATAGATTCCCCCCAGTTTGCTGACCTTAACCAGCTGGCTGGAAATAGGAATTTGCAGCTGCAGCGCACTCGATGTGTAAGTGCCTGGTGGCGCATCCATCACCTGAACAAATGTCTCTGCTCAGTACTTCTCCACTTTCCGCTCTGTTGGTCCCATAGCCCTGTTCCTTCTGCGCATTTCTAAACTCTGCCAACATGAGCCACTTCCTGCCCCTGCGGCACCAGAAATCCCTGCTTCTCTGAATTATCTAAATACCAGAGTCCACGCAAGTCTGCAAGGACAACCAACTGTCGCTGTCCCCAGTGAGACAAGAACCTTGAGGACAAGGAGGTTTAGTAAAATATGCAGTGTGAAATGCTGCCTGCCCAGTTGTCTGGGGAGAAGACACTTCCTGCCATTGATCAGCAAACTCATTATCCCCGCAAAGCTGTTAGCTGGGCACCTTTGTCTCCTGGGACTGACGTCTCCGTGCTTGCCTCTAGGATTGGTGTGGAGAAGGCAGTGGGGAGGTGAGTAAGGTGGAAGCCTGCGCAGGAGTGGTAGGAGATGAGCAGAGCTGAGCTGGGTTTGGAGTAACACAGCTCACAAGTGCAGGCTCAGCTTGGCACGGTTAGGTCTTGTGCTATAGACCCGGGTCAGGGTTGGGGAAAGAACAGGAGTTCGAGAAGAGGCTCAGATCTCCTCTGCTGGCCCAGGGGGACCAGGGTGTGCAGCTGTGGCTGGGAGCCCAGGGTCAGAACCTTTCAGACAGTGCAGGCCATTTGAAGATTCTCTTAAAAAACCTAGTCCCTAGTTATTAAAAAGGGGCGTAAGCGCAGACTTAGGGGTGCAGAGGAGTTGCTGTGGTTATTATTTCTCATCGATTGGGAAAAGGAGTTCACTTTGCTCAGTAAATAGAGCTTTGATGGATTCCCAGGATCCTTCCAGGAGCTGATCTTCTAAAATGACACTTTTTATTACTGTTCATAAACGCCGATCTCCAGGTGCTGCTGGGATATTAACGTCTAAGCTGTGGGCAAACTTGCCAGTCCAGTGGCTCAACAAGCAAGGTGTGGGAGGCTGGTAGCTGGTGTCTGTCCTTCCAGCAGCACAGGGCTGAGCCCTAGCTAGCCTGGCACAGGAGCAGGCCTTGGAAATCACGTGAGCAGGGAGGGGTGCAGAGTGCTTTGCTTCACACCCCCTGCCCCAGTTAGAACCAGGCAGACATGGCTTTCCACTGTTAGAGAGCTCTTTGCAGAGGAGCCAGCAGGGTATAGGAAAGTCTTTCCTTACTAGAATGCCTTATTAAGGCCGAAGGTGTAGCCAAAGCTCCATCCCCAGGACCAGGTTTGGCTTTTCTCTGGCCAGCACTAGGATCTAGAAGGAATCCTAACTTGTTTTCCTAACTTCAAACTGGGACTGCAACTTTGTGCATGGAAAGTTGGGTGGACTGTCAGCAGACTTCTAGGGTGAACCATTTCTTGGACTGTTGTAGTAATTAAAAAATGTTCTTTTTCCTTTTAAATTCATCTCATTTCCTTTTTTACACAGTATTTGCATGAGTTGGAAGCACTGTGTTGCTCAGTTCTAGATGCCTTTAGAATGAACCCTCGAGTGAGCCAGTACCTGGTCCCAGGGTGGGAGTAGACAGGAGCTGAGGCACGGCTGTGGTAGAGCAGCACTCATAGTCACTCCCAGGAGGCTGTTCACGCACGGCGTGGTGAAGTCTTTGGAACTCCTGAATTTTGGATCCCTTGCATGCATTGACTTTTTAAAAACTGACATTTAATCGGGAAACGTTTATTTTAATGTAATATTCTGTCATCTTGATTTCTGCACTCATTCTCACTTCCTTCGTGGATATGACAAACATTTGTTACATGCCAGGTATTGTGCTAGGCTCTGAGACCGTGACAGAGAAGAAAGCAGTGCCCTCCCAAGCTCGATCCAGAAAAGCTCTGCAGTAAAATCAAATTTTATCAGATTTATGCAAGTGCTAATTGTGGCCAATTTGTTTAGGAATTCTAAAACTACACAGAAGTACAGATTTATATGATTTATGTATTGTAACTATCCTGGTTATATTCTGTGGCCCGAAAGGTAAAGTACAAGGAATCCAGGTGTGGTGACGCACACCTGTAATCCCAGTCCTTTAGGAGGCTGAGGCAAGAGGATCACACGTTTGTACCTAGCCTTTGCCACATAGCAGGACCTTGTCTCAAGTAAAAAAAATAAAAAGGGCTGGAGCTCAGCGCAGAGGCCTTGGGACCTCCATGCCCCAGTCCTGACAGCCTCCGTATCATGTTTTTTCTTTTTTTCTTTTTTTTTTCCTCTCTGAGTTTATCGCTTTTCTTTCAGCTCTGCACTCCTTCATCGGAGCCTATGCCGCCTACCCCAGGGAGCTGAAGCACATCTTCCATGTGCGGTCCCTCCACCTAGGGCACGTGGCCAAGAGCTTCGGGTTGAGAGATGCTCCCAGGAACCTTAGTGTGCTGGCCGTGAAGAGGAGCAAGGGAAAGCTGAAAAGGTAAGAGAATCAGAGTTTGTCGAGAGCGCTGTTGAGATGAACAGTGTGAGATGTACCACAAGCTGACAGGCACAGGGGCCTCTCTTCATCTTCGCTTTTTGTGATAAGTTGTTACTGTTCTGCCTGTCTCTCAATAAGTAAGCTCTTGGACCCAGAGGAAGAAGACCTGATCTGCAGAAACTTGGTAGTGCCTCCTGCTGGGCCCAGCTATAGTGGGGCTCAGTGAGCAGCAGTCAGACCTGCTGGGACAGAAGAGTAACCTCTGTCCCTGAGAGTAACCTGGGGACTTGCCACACCACGTGTGGTTAGGGCTGGTAGCCGGCCCTGTCCTCAGGAGATGGGCAGCGTGAGTGACTGACCTTGGGTTCCAGGAGCTGCTGATGCCCAGATCTCCAACACGCTGGCTTCATGGTGGCACATCTCGGCATCACCTGCCCCCCTTCGCCTAGGTGGGGGCAGTGGGTCCTCTCCCCGGCTCCAGACAGCGTGTCCACAGCTGTCCAGGGGTCCGCTCACAGGGGAGGGTCAGTGATGGGCGTTGCCCTGTGGGGTGGAGGCTGGCTCTGGGGCCCGTCATGCCGTGTTGAGAAGTTTATACAAGGTCTTCTTTCTTTCCTCACCATAGCTAGAGCTCTGTGGGGAGCCTTGAAGTTAGGGGATGTGGTGAAGAGGGGTTTGGGGCACAAAGACTTTCTTACACTCTCCTCAATTTCCATGTGGAATCCTGAATGCCCTGGACAGTCACTGCATGGCCCGTCCTCCTTTCTGCATTACGTAACGTGTCCCGGCCGTCCTGCCCTGACTCTGGGACTGTAGGAGACTGTGGACTCGCTGCCTGATCCCCACCGTGTCTGCTGGTTCTTCCACCAGCCCTAATGGGGTCTCTGGGTCTCTGGGACAGCGGTCTTAGTGGCAGGGACTTGCACTTCAGTTCGGTTCAGCTCTATTCTAGTAGAAGTTTTGGACCATAACTACTCTCTGTGTCTCAGTGCCTTGGTTTACTCAACAACAAAATGGGGTTACTTTACAGGACTGTTCTGAGAATCCAGTTAGGTGATACACATGCATCCACCTTTTGAACCATGCAGGGTGGTCAGACAGAGCTAGAAAGCAAATCAGTCAAGACCTAAGATGTCCAGGTAGATATGCCCTGGGCTTAGCATGAACAGGACTCTGCGACCATAGAGTTGCCTAATTCTAGTTCCAGGTTGGGAATCGTTAGATGCCTGATTTTCCCTCATAGTCGTGCCTCTCGAGAGGAGCAGTGCTCTCGTGATTCTGCGAGGTGGATGGCAGCCATAGAGTGCTGCCTACCTGCCTGAGACAGGTGCACCGGCCCCGCTTTCTTCCCGGCAGTTTGGAAGTGCAGAGCTGCAGAGTAGGGCGGCGCCCTCAGTCTTCTGTACCTGCCCTCTTCGGATCCAGAGGCACACTTGGCTCCCAGGGTTGAGTCCCTGTCTTGGATTTGTTGTCTCTGTCCTGCACTTACTGCAGAGTAGGCAGTGCAACCATGAGGACACCATGGGGCGGGGTCTCTGGGCTGTGTGTGAGAGTGGCCTCGTAACAAGAAGCCTGACCATCCTGTCACCATTTCTAATATGCTCATTCTTGGGGAGGTGGGACTGGACCTGCCAGGTGATGTGGGTAAGAAACACGTCTCTGAGCCAGGGACTTAGCTCAGTGGCACCGCGCCTGCCTCACCAGCTCAAGGTCCTGAGTTCGATCCCTGGTACCCAAAAAAAAGGAAAGAAACACATCTCTGTTTATTCCTCTCCCCCAAAATAAATATAGCCTTTTATTATTAGCAGATGATCTACGTTTGTGACTGGAAATTTCATTAGCAAGTGTTAAGCCAGCTAGTGGCTCTCCATACTAAGAAGTCCATAGTCCTGTCCAGATTTTGGGCAGCCAGGAGGGTAGGCGGGAGGCGGTCAGGTGGGGGAGCTGGAGGCGCCATTGTCCTTACCTTGAGAAGCCGCTAGGGAGAGAGCAACCGCCACCTCCTGCCTCCACTGACCCTGGCTAGCAGATGGGCACCAAGACCACTATACCCCTGTGAGCAGGGGATTTACAGGGCTTTATTCGGGGAAGAATGGGCTGATTAGCCGATAAAGAGCATGTAAGATGGTATGGGGCAGCCTTTGATGTCTGGCTGGCACTGCAGGGAGCCGGGTGGTGAGTGACAGCAGTGTGTCACAGGATTACTCTGCCGTGACAGTGGCGTGTCTGTTCTTGCCATGTCACCACTGTTACGGCTACTTTCTCCGTTGTCATGCCCTTCTTTTGAAGGCATTTCTCCCCGCACTCGCCCCGCCCCTGCTTTCTAATGCAGACGGCGCTGGAGGACCCTGTGGGTACCTTTTTGTACCGGGGAGTCTTGTCACTCCTGGAGGAGCAGTGACTTCACAGCTCATCTGCACACGGACCGTATAATTGTGGTCAGCGCGAGGAGCAGAGAAAACCTGACAGATTGTCCACACCTCAGTCAGGGCTCAAGCAAATGCCAGTTGCTGCTGTTTGAGAACTGGAAAGAAAAGTCCATTAAAGCCCCCAAGGTGCAAGAGTGATACCATGGCCACCATTATTGTTCTGGCTGAGGCGTCTCCTCTGAAATCCTTCTGTCAAGACAGAATGGGTTCTTTATGTTTCACGCAAGTGAGTAAAATAGAGCACTAAACTCTTAAACTGTTCACTTTCTGGCGTGTGGTGTTTTCTGCCGTGCTGATTACATATTGTGCTCAAACCTGTGATATCTCAGACCGAATCCATTAGGCTGAACAAAAAGCCCATCTCACCTGTCAGCAGACGGCTGGGAAAGTGTGAGTTGAGGGCAGCACAGGTTAGGGACTTGTTGACTGTTAGGTGTCTCTGTGCAGTGTGAGAGGGGATTTTACCTCTTAGACTGCCTTTTTCCCCTGTAACCAGCCACTTCTTAGAGCAAGGAAATAAATAGTTAACGTCCCCAAATGAGGTCTTAATCACCAGGTCTCTGTCAACTTTTGCAGTCCTCATTCTGAGAGGGAACAGTAAATGCCTTCCCCTTGCACACAGAAACAGTCACAAAACCTCTCTGACACCTACACACACACCTGTCAGAACAAACCCCTCCCGCACTCCTACACAGACGTGTACACAGGGAGTTGGTGCTGTTGGTAAAATATTGAATGGCCCCTTAGCAACATCCATCACAAAAGCAGCATTTTCCTCCCTGAAATGCAGTTCTTGTTTTGAAGCTAAGTAGATTCAGCAGTTCCCGAGAAGCAAAGGTAACATACTCCAAAATCACCATCTTTCCAGGCACACGGAGACCCAGAGCTGTCTGTGCTGCAAGCAGAGTTGTGTTGTGTGCTGGGGTGTTTGTCTGACTGCCTGCCTGCCTGCCGGGCCGTCATGCTCATGAGCGGAGCAGGTCGGGGGTGCCAAGCAAGCGAGCTGTAGCGGGTCAGTGTTCTCACTGTCCACAGCCTGTGCAGAGAGTCCAGGAGATGTGCATGAGTGCACCCTGAGATCTTGGTGCTTTGTGGCAATAGGAAAAGGTAGGTCTGCTGTTTCTAGCCACCATATCCCCCGAATCATTTGCTGCACCCTAGCACCCTTTCCCCAAGTGAACAGCTTCGTCTATAACTATGACTCAAGACTGGTTTTGCCCCGGCTTCCGCCATCTGTGTCTCTCTGATGTTGTCTTAGTGGTCAGAAACCTCTGGGACGGTGGCATTGTTAGTAGAGAAACAGCAATCTCAATTGTTGACCGTTCTTACAGTTCATCTTATTTGCGTCAATTTTCTCAGCCAAGATGTTACCTGGTGGTTCGTGATTCTATCCAGTAAGGTAAGTGGTGTGAACCGGGGTCATCCTGCCTGGGTATTCCTAGATGTGAGGGGCGTGCCCCGGCTGGCCCCGCCCACCAGGCGAGTGCAGCGTGTCCTCAGCGGCTGTACTTCTGAAGTCCTAGACCCGTTTTCCCCCCTAAACTAAGTAAATACCCTTGGAGAAATCTTGTGTGTGAGGCAGCCCTGCACTGTACAGCACTCGTCTTCCTGTCTGGACAACTGCGATGCTTCATCACTGATGTGCACGCTGGAGGTTGTGAGAGCTCTGGTTTTTGGCATCTTTCCTCTTCGAAGGCCCTGCTGTGCCATTCGCTTGTTCCCTCGTTGTCAGGTACTGGTAAGCACCGAGTGCCCGGATCATGCTGGGACACGAGGCGTCTTCCCCTCAGCTCTCTCCCTCGGGCCTCGCTGCTTGCATCCTGTGTGTCTGTGGGCAGGTCACTCAGCCACTCTGTGCATCGGTTCCCTTGCCTTGCACAGCAGGGTACGTGGGCCTCACCCTGTCCGTGTCGTCATGGGTTAAACCAGCCGCTGAGCATGAAGCAGCGGAGAAATGGGAGCATCGGCAGTCGGGTCAGTGACGTTGTGACTGCTGCTTCTCTTCCCTGGCCTCCAGCGTGGTCAGCGGGGGGCAGCAGAGTGTACAGAGCTGACTGCGGCTCCCTCCAGCTCGCCTCACCAGGACCCGCCGTGCACGCTCAGCCCAGTCCCCGGAAGACTAGCATTAAGGAGCTGCAGCTGCATCTCCCTGTAAAGCAATATTCTCATCATTAGGAGCAGCTTGCCTGCCAGTTTTTACGTGGCATTTACAACCTTCCTAATATCACTTAATTAGCTGAAGGCAAACCTGGAATCTTGCCCACTGTGAAAATTTTCCCGATTTCGTTGAGCCAGTTATCATTCTGTAAAAAGCAGACTGGCCAAACTTGAGACGAGAGACTGGACAAAGCTCGCTTGAAATCGAGAGGCTCTGTCCGTGCACAGCCACTGCACCTGAGTCAGCGCGCCTCGGTCGGTCTCTTCTGGTGGCCCCCAGCGCTCTCGGCCGGCCCCTCGGCTTCATCTGGACCCCTGGGCCACCTCCTTCCAGGTCTCCCTGTGGTCACTGCCCGGGCGGCCTGACCTGCACCCCCCTTGCACCCCCTGGCCCTGGCAGAGAACCTTTTGGTG